AATACACGGGCGCGTCCGCTCGAGGGTTAATCACGAAGAACAAGTTAAAAACTTCTAATGCACTCCATGCCCAATGATGCTACCAATCAAATGCTTTACTCCTAATAATGTGAAAGAACAAATTTCTAGATGCCATAACTACAAAGCACCAGGCTTGATTATATATCAAAGATTGATATAAGGTTGAATGCTCGAATAAATGAACTTTGATGAAATAAAAGGCAGATATCGAACACAGTTTTAATAATTTAATCTTGTCCAAGTACTTTCGCTCCCTAGAGCATTTTCAGGGGCGTTTCGTCAATTGTGACCTATCCAACAAGAATAAAATTTTATGGATATAAAATTGTACATCACACTACACTACACAAGGAGCGTAGGGTGATGTCCTTTGAAAATCTACCAAGTACTTCTACAATATATTTTGTTTTGTTCAATTTTATAGGAATTTATTATAATTTATAATATAATATTAGTAAAAGAAATAATATTTTTCATCACTTCCTATCTAGTTACTTTATCCCTAAGTACCGATCAGGAATATGATAGTTTTAGGTAAAAGTCATTAAGCACATTTAGTTTAATAATTTTAAAATTATTGAGTTCTAATTATTTCTTTTAAGTCAGGATAGTAAAGTAACACCTAACCTTCATAAAGATTATCACTGTTATCTAGAGTAATCATAAATAAAATTATAAAGCAAACAACGAACAAAATTTTGAATATCTCTCTTGTAGGTACTTATTTTGTAGTTAGTGAGTTTTACCTCTATATAGACGATGTATAAATATTATTTTCTTTAAATTGAATACATATGTTTTAAAGTGGTGTCTGATTTTCTTGTAGTATTATAAATAGTTTGTTAATACGAGACGACACGTATAGATTTCTCATTCGACCAAAACCATCTAAACCAAAACCATCACAACCGGCAACAACAAGAACTTTCTCTGAAAATACACATATCCATCTACAGTAGTTTGCAAGTTCGTACACGATGTTATTAGGAACCAATCAATCCTAATAAAGATACGCCAGTCGGAAAGGCGTGGGGTCGGGGGTACGGGATATTATAAGTTGGGCATCCATTAGAAGGGCTTCCGGCGAGCTTCTGCGTCTTACCTCACTTCCGGAACTTGGCCTCCGGAGCCTCGAATAATTCAGGACCAACTTGCCACTTTAAGCCTTAATGAATAGGTAATTAGTTAATATTGTGCGGGCTTCCCGTTGTCCACGCGCGTGTATACATAGTAGCATGGACTGTCTTGGGACCCATTAGCCACCGGCTGTGGGGCTCTGTCCCCCGAACTTACGCTATTGTTTGCCAAGGAAAGGATTTCAATTGAATTAACTCTAATCAGAGAAGATTATTATGGATCGATGTAGGACCGCGTCTTCTACTTGTTCTGGACTAAGACAAAAGCTTCCAAACTAGTATTTACCCCTTAAACTATATTCAATATTGCGGTAAACTTCGGTAACTAATATTCGTTGCAAACAATTACTGGATATATGAATATTAATCTTTATTTATTGATGTATTTACCCAGCTCAGAACTTCTTATTTTAAAAATGGCGAGTGCGCCGAAACAAATTGTATACCTTAATGAAAACGACATCAATGAGACGACATAAATGAATTCCATTATTTCAGAAACAGCATAATTCCATTTTTAAAAAATGTTGAGAAATTAGATAAATTATTTCATGAAATATTTTTAAGAATCCTATTGTGCTTTTGTAATAAAATCATGGGATTAATGTGTTTTAATCAGTTTGCATAAAAAAGTGGTGAATTTTAGCTTTATATTTTTATATAATTTCTATCCTTGTGTGATCGGTACACACCGGAGGGACCGCAGACGTTCGGATACAATTAGCGTCTCTTAGCAAAGACAATGACGTCGACTTTGCTAAGTATCAAGACAATTACTCTACACACACACACACACACACACACACACACACACACACACACACACACACACACACACACACACACACACACACACACACACACACACACACACACACACACACACTACACCTCAAATTGTAAGATTGGCGAATGGATTTAGTGTCCGCAGTCATTTAAACACAAACAAACAACAACAATATTTTTATAAACATACACATTTTTCAAGGATGTAAAAATAAGAAAACATGTTTTATATAAACATTTGTTCCTGTATATAAACCTCATCTGGTTGTATTGTTTCATTTGAATCTCCCTGGCATGTTGGCAAATTAAAAATTTCTCCGTAAAAGTCCTAGGCTTCTTCATTATCTGGTAGATACTTTTCCAGGTTTCTCAAGTCTCGTTAAATCTTCTTGATAATAATAGGAATATGTCCTTCGGTGTATGCTTTTCTTGTAGGGAAACTAATAATATCCTTGTTGCTATTTCGTAGCCGAAAAGAATGATCTATCAAGCCATCTATGTACTCTTTTGTAATAACAATTCCATCGTGATCACTCGAATGAATAAAGTGTCGAAAGTTGGATATTTTTAAATCAATTTTATCTCGTGGAATATTTCTGCCCAAAGATTCATTGGAGAGCATTGTCTTTTTAAAATACGTGGGCCACCATCCTTTAAAGTTCAATATGTTATCAGAATTCGGCAAAACTACAGTACATCGGTTTAAACTTTTGTTAGATGTTACGATAAGCTTTTTTTAAACCTATTCTCTATCCTTCCATTGTTGGATATAGGTCTCCCCCAGTTCTCTCCATCTTTCCCTATCTTGAGCTGTTCTCTACCATGTGGGACCTCCTTGTTTCCTGATGTCATCTTTCCACCTCATCTGTGGTCTGCCTCTTGATCTCTTTGCATTGTATGGACGCCACTTTTTGATGGCATTGTTCCATCGTCCGTCTTGGAGACGTTCATTGTGTTCAGCCCATTTCCATTTCAGTTTTGCTGCTTGTTCTATCGCGTCTACTGTCTTTGTTCTGGTTCTGATCCACTGGTTACGTTTTCTATCTCTAAGTGATACACCCAACATTTGTCTCTCTATCGCTCTTTGTGCCTTCCTTATCCTATCCAAATTGGCCTGTGTAAATGTCCATGTCTGTGCTCCGTAGGTGAGCACCGGTATTATGCAGGAGTTATATACCTTGCTTCGTAAGTATAGAGGGATTGTTTGATTTTTTAAAACGTAAGAAAGTTTGCCGAACGCTGCCCATCCCATTCTTACTAGTCTCGATATTTCGGCTGTTTGATTTTCTCTGTTAGCTCTGATTGCTTGTACTAGATAGGTATACTCATTTACCTGTTCTATTTTTTCTGTTTTTATTTTTATTGCCTCCTGGTCTTCCGTGTTTGTCATTACTTTTGTTTTGTTGAAGTTAATTTTTAGGCCTTTTTGCAGTGATTTTTTATGAAGTTCATTCAGCATTAATTCCAGTTCTTGTCGTTCCGAGAAGATCAGGAGTATATCATCCGCATATCTAAGGTGATTTAGGTATTTTCCGTTAATACATATTCCTCTGTTTTCCCAATCTGTTGATTTTATTATGTCTTCGAGGGTCAAGGTAAACAGTTTAGGTGAAATTATATCGCCTTGTCGGACTCCTCGTTTAACTTTTATATTATCCGTTATTAATTTGTCGTCCAGAATTACGGTCATGGTTGCGTTTTTGTAAATATCATGTATCAATTGTCGGTATCTTGAATATATTCTACTATTGACCAGAGCTTCTTCAACCGCCCAGTGTTCAATGCTATCGAAAGCCTTTTCATAATCTACGAATGCTAAGTACAGCGGTAGGTTGTATTCATTGGTTTTCTCAATTAAGATTTTAAGCGCATGTAGATGGTCGATTGTGCTGTATCCTTTCCTGAATCCGGCTTGTTGCACTGGTTGGTAGTTATTAAGTTTATAGGTTAGTCGGTTGTTTATTATTCTTGTGAAGGTTTTATATAGTTGTAACAAAAGAAAAATAGGACGGTAGTTGTTTAGGTCTGTTTGGTCTCCTTTCTTATGTAATAAGATTGTGTTGGCATTTCTCCATTGTTTAGGTATTTTACCTTCAAACAGACATTTGTTGAACAGTATTTTTAGCATTTTTTTTATTGTGTCTCAACCTTCTTTTAGCAGTTCCGCCAGTATTTTGTCCTCACCGGCCGCTTTATTTCTTTTCATGTCGTTTATGGATTTTTCGATTGCATCTTCAGTTATTTCTGGTACCTCTGAGCCAACATTTTGTATTTTCCTCGAGGGATTCTGTTTAGATGATAGTGGTGGGTCATTTTTAGAACTGTATAGTTCTGTGTAACATCTTTCTGTGATTTTTAATATTTCTCCTAGACCTCTTTCTTCATTGTTCTCAGCTTTAAGCATGATTAGATCGTGTCGGTCATAGCTTTCGTGGAGGAGGAGCTCTGAACTGAGTAGGGATTCTTCTGTACTTCACAAAAGACAGACTGAGCGGGGATCTCCTCAACCTCGACACGGCACGTCCCATATGGCTGATAGGGAAAGTTCCTGCAGATATGCAGGACAGGTACGAATAAGGCATTGCCAAATAAGTACCCGCGGATCAACTGAGGATATGACATTAGGCAGCAGTAATGTCATTACTGCTGCTTATTTCACATACTCGATCAAACGCTTTCTCGTAATCAACCAGACATGCATATACGTCTTAGTTGACGTCTTTGCATCTCTGTAATAAGACTGAGAACAAAGCCTCTCTAGTATCAACAGTATTTGTAAACCCGAAATGGTTGGGGAAAATTGGACTTTCATACAGCTTGTAGATTCTTTTATGAATTATCTTTAGGAACAATTTTAAGAGATGACTCATGAGGCTTATCGTATGGTAATCTTTGTATTTTTTGGCTCCTGCTTAACCTTACTTAAGTATAATTCTTTTAGACCAACATATGAAGCACGAAGTAACTAATCCTTTGCCAACAGCATTATTTTATTTGGATTTTACCAATTGATTATTTGCTTGTATTGTTTTATTACTTTAATATTTTTTGTTACAGATTCTTTGGCTCAAGAGCTTGAAATGGAAAGAAAATCAAGACAGCAACAGGTGGAGCGAGAGGTAAAGTCACCCTTGCAGGATAGATCCGGATATTACAAAAACTCGGTTATGTTTACAAGTAGTGCTACATAAGACCATAATTAAGTCATGTATATATTTAAACTAAATCTGTACAGTTCTATAGTTACTAAGAAAAGTTACATATAAATAGGATCGCATATAAACATATGATAAGTATAATATATAGGTATATAAACAGCAAATTTGCAAAAAAAATCAAAACTAATAACAGTTTTCTAAAACTAATGTACACATTGATTTGGAATTAAATTTTTTGGTTCTTTATTTTTAATTTATTTTGTTAGTGGAAGAAAAATATGTTCAAAGAAATAAAACTATGATATATACTTATAACAAATCGGAGAACTGTAGTCCAGTTAGTTTGCATTAAATATGTAGTTAAAAATCATTTAAATATAATTCACATATATTTGTTAATTCACATTATTATTAATATTAATAGTCTTTGTTAATTCACATATATTTTTTAATAAATTTTAATAATGTTGTACATTAACAACGCAGGACTCCCAGGGGTTGCCAACCTAAGAGAAGGTGTTTCAATGGGTCGTTGATAGCAACTGGGTTGGCAACTCCTGGCAGTCTTGCGTTGTCATAATGTAAACTACATCATTTAAATTTATTAACGAAAAATTATGTATTAGTTAACAAAATCAGCATTATTAAAAGGGTTTTTAGTCACATATTTGGTGGCTCCACTTATGTATACCTGGGAACTGCCCTGATGATGAAATTATTGGTCCAAAAACGTTCTGAGATGTAATCAGAAAGGACATTTCTAGCATAGCACAAGTATACCTCTTTTTTAAAGGATTTTGTAAATAAAAAATTTTACTTTTCATGGTATACGTCCAACTACAGGTATTTCATTTTCCTTGTGGATTTTAAATTTATATATTGTTGAACAACAGAGATATAGGTCTATTAAATAAAAATAAATGTTACCTTAGGAATAGTAATTTTTATACAAAAACTAATACTTTCTTACTAAGGATAAGATATTACTTATTTATATTTGAATAAAAGTAAGTTTTATCTGATAAGGTAGTACTGGAAAAACATTCTGAAATTTAAGTATATGATTTGACCTATTGAACAAGCAAGGTTCAGACCTAACCGCACCTGCACAGATCAGATCCTGAAAACTAATCCCTGCCATCCTGTATCAAAAGGTAACTAAACTCATTGATAGCATACTCACCGACAGACCTCTTCAAGTCAAAATAAGCAAGTTAGAAGCTTAACAATGGACTGCTACAGGGATCTGTTTTGGCACGCTTACTGACTAGTTTATACATCGCGAACCTACCTGGGACAATGTCGCAGAAATTTGGCTACACTGACGACTGGGCCATTACAGCAACACCTAATAACATAGATATTACAGAAACAATACCAACGGATGAACTTGTCGTTATGGGCGAATACTTTCGCAAATGGAGGCTATGGCCCAATGCATCGAAAACCAAAGTGTGTTGTTTCCGTCTGAATAATGCTTTAGACCAGTGGTCGCCAACCTCTTCAATGTGTTGAGCTACTTTGTTAATTTTGGAATAAACAGCGAGCTACCCACACGGAAGCTACGTAACGCAACGTAAATGAAATAATCCACAGTTAATCTATCACTTTATGTATTTATTTTACTGTTTAACTAGTAAAACATAATACATAGGTACTAATAATAAACTAATAACAAAATAACTAATATTACTGGTACGTACTTGTTCATAGCTACATTCCTACCTATCAAACGAAGGTATTTGAAAAATAAACACAAACTTTTATCCAGCCACAACGGCATGTCACGTGTAATTTAAAAATAGTTAATAATAAGAACAAAAAAGTAACGCACTGTCATAAACATAAACATTGAAAAATAAAAAAGCACGCTCAATGAGAAGGCTGACACTCAGACTCATCGATTATTTTTTTATTGTTAGCAGTATAATTTGATGCAGCCATTCCAATATTGGATTTGAAAAAGAAGATTCGCACAAATAGGTTGAACTGAATAATACTTTCACTATCAAGGCAACACGGCATAGAACTGAATATTTTTCTTTACTTACAATAGGCCAGATACATTCAGTACTTGAGACTAACGTTTTTAAGGCTAAATCATTTTGAAACTCAATGACTTCCATTTCTGTTGCAGCGATGTCTTCGCCAAAGTTCTGCATAACACAAGCTGCAAACTGCTGGATATCAATTTCCATAAAGCGTGAAACAACAAACTGTGCTACTAAAGCCATTTCATTAAAATCCTTAAAACGATTTTTGAAGTTACTCTTCAGGATAGAAATTATTTCTACATGATATTTGTTGTCATAGGGTTCTAATGGATTTTGAGATATTTTTTCTGAAAGAATAGGAAAATGCTTGGAGTCGCTGTTAATTAGGTTTTGTTCCCAAAACTCCAGCTTTTTGATAAATGCTTTTATATCAGAAATCATTTCCGCTAGTTCTATGTCTCTCGGCGCCATCGGTTGTCAAGCCTACCATTTTCGATATTGGTAATGATAATGAACTTTAAAAGATCTTCTTTAATCGTAAAATCACTAAAAACCATCCTGACGAACACGGCTATCTGAGCAGTGTCAACGACATCTGTTGATTCATCCAGTTGAAGTGAAAAATAAACACAGTTATCTAAGTCAGTTCTTAACTGTAAAAAAATATCATTGCTTATTACTTCTACACGTCTCATCACTGTATTAGCAAAAGTTGCATAGATTTTATAGCTGAAACTATCTCGTCTTTATTTCTAAAGTTGGAAAATAACGAATCAGCAGCTTCTAAAAACGCCTGCTTTATCATTTCTCCGTCTTCATAAGGTTTCTTTTTTTGTGCAATTATCTGGGACACACGGTGCGATGCTTCAGTTGCAGCCTTATTTTTGTCAACTGTTCTTAAAAATATTGATTGTTGTCCAATTTACTGTTTTTTTAACTGTTTTAGTTTGTCCTTTCTGGCGGCAAAATGTAGTGGAAATGATTTTTCAAAATTAAAATGCACAGTTTTATGATGTCTCTCAATATTTCCTTTTTTAGCAACGGAGACATAAAGATATTTTTATCTTTAACTTGTGTAAAAAAGTATTGTTCTTCCCATTTCGAATGAAAGTGGTATGTCTTTACCTTCTTACAACTGCTTGCCATAATATTCTTTTTGTTGTTCTCTACTAACCCAACCGCTGGACGTTGGTTACGCGTTCAGTTTTAAACAAAGCGCAATGTCGCCGCGCCGTGCGTATTTATCCCGTTCAAAGCAATTACCGGTAACTCGCGATCGACAGGTTGGCGACCACTGCTTTAGGCAACTAAAAACTCTCCATTCACTTTGAAAACAAACTGCTCACTCATAACTCAACACCAAAATACCTTGGAGTGACTCTGAATACAAAATTAAATTTTAAAGAACACCTACAAAGAACTGCAGCAAAACTAAAAACGCGAAATAATATAGACCAAAAACTATATTGCTCCACATGGGGTCCTCAGCCTCCGTACTCATAGTATCCGTTCTCGGACTTGTATACTCGGCGGCTGAATATACTTTCCCGGTATAGCTCAATAGAAAATAATATAAGGTTGAATGCTCGAATAAATGAATTTTGGTGATATACAAGGCAAATATCGAACACAGTATTAATTAAATCTTGCCCAAGTACATTCGATCACAAGATCATCCTCAGAGATAAGCCAAGAAACGTTTAAAAAAAAGGAAATTAATTCTCTTTGATAAAAAACTCGAAGTTTATGGTTAATAAAAGTTTTTTATGTGATTAACGTTTATAGTTTATAACTTCGTCAGTTGTGGCCTATCCGACAAGAGCAGAATGTCATAAATGTAAAATGGGACATAACAATACATTGTCTTTCTGTAGTATATTGTTATGTCCCATTTTACATTTATTACATTCTGCTCTTGTCGGATAGGCCACAACTGACGAAGTAAGTCTATAAACGTTAACCACATAAAAAACTTTTATTAACCATAAACTTCGAGTTTTTTATCGAAGTGAATTAATTTCCTTTGTTTTAAAAAACGTTTCTTGGCTTATTTCAGATGCCCCTGAGAATGATCTTGTGATCGAAAGTACTTGGGCAAGATTTAATTAATACTATGTTCTATATCTGCCTTGTATATCACCAAAGTTCAATAGAAAATAGACGAAGATTATTGACACATAATTACACCAAACAATGTGAATTATCTCAGGTACAACTAGACCCACACCGAACAATTAGCTTCCCATTCTGAGTCACATTCCACCGCCGAAACTGCGAAGAAATCATTCTCTGTTCAGAAAATATCGAAAAATCGAGGCTAACCATCAACTACCCATCCACTATGATAAGCTTGATACCGAAATAGCTAGACTGAGCTTCAGATATCCTCGATTGCTTAGATCCATTCCTTACTTTAAGAACATTTTAACCTCACCAACACTTGGAGAAAACAATGGGAAAACGACTCTTCATAGGAAGCACACCAAATGGCCTGTATAGATCAGAAACCGCGAAGCTTTGAACTGACCTGCAATACATGGACAACGCTAAACAGAATAAGAACAAACAGCGGTAGATGTGCTGACAGCTTATATAGATGGCAAAAAAACCCTTACTCCTAAGTTTGACTGTAGTGCGCAATGATACACCGTCCGTCACATTGTTAAGAAATGCACCTGAAGCGATTCCCTGGAGTTTTTGAGATATTACACTCACTTCCTGAATGTAACTGAAAATGTTTTATATTATAATAATAATACATTAGATGTTCGTTTGTAATACTCCATGCAACGGTTTATATTGATTTTTAATATATAAATTTTTTGATAATGTATGAATCCTAATTTTCTACGTATGATTTATGTCAATTATTACTTTTAAGGAATCATTTAAAAGGCTGGTATTCAATTCCACTCAATCTGTCTGCTGCTTTAACTCCAACGGTTGGGTTCTGACCATAGACACATAATACAAGATAGACTGACCGTTGCAATAATACCAGTCCGTTCCCCCAGTGTGATAGAGAAAACTGAAGCAAAG